TATGTGTATATGTGTGTATGTGTGTCATGTATGTTTGTGTTTGTGTGTGTATGTGTATGCATGTGTGTGTTGTTTGTTGTGTGTATATGTGTGTGCATGTGTATACAATTATGTTTGAGTGTGTGTATGTTTGTATGAGTGTGTGTGTGTGTGTGTGTGTGTGTGTATTTGCAAGTTAGTAGATGATTTTCAGGAGCTGATTTTGCCCTTCATTCAACCATGAGTTCCCTATGAGTGGAATTCAGGCACTTGCCCTGCAACTGCTCTTACCTCCTAAGCCATCCTGCTGGTCCTGTGACTTTTTTCTTTTTTGTATTCTTTTGTTTTACATCCCACAGCTCCATCGCCAAGAGGATGTCCCCCACCACTCCACCAGACCTCCCCACTCCTGGGGGGTTCCAAGTCTCTTGAGGGTTAGGTGCATCTTCTCTGACTGAGTCCAGACCCAGCAGTCTTTTGCTATAAACGTGTAGGAGGCCTCATATCAGCTGGTGTATGCTGCCTGATTGGTGGCTCAGTATCTGAGAGATCCCAGGAGTTCAGGTTAGTTGGGATTACTGGTCTTACTCTAGGTCTGCCTCAGCTTCTTCCAGCTTTTCTTTAATTCATTTCTTAAATGATCATTGCTTTCCCTAGAGAATAAAGACACAGTTTGTAGTATTAGACATATTACTTAGTATTACTAAGTTCTTTTAATGCTATCTGGTACTGGAAATTAAACTCAGGGCCTCGCTTCTATGAAGTAAGCACTGGCTGATAAGCAGTAACTGCTAGTGTCTAAATCTTAAATTAACTCTGTTTGACTTTTTTTCCTCATAATTGAGAGTTTTTTCTTTAAATCTTTTGAAAGTTTAAATCTTCTTGATGGACATACGTATTTGCAACGATAAAGTTAATGTGATGAATACACACTTTCTTGTCTTTCATTAATCAGTTCTTTAAGGATGTTTTAAATTGGCCTGACTGAAGCTTTGATTTCCAGAATGAAAAGGCAATATCAACAATACTATCAAAAGCTACTTACAAGCACCCTCTCCTGGTCTCATTGTTCGTCATGCTTTGTCTCCACATGAGCCACACTTTCACCCCAACTCTTTGAAATATTGAGGGGTAAATATTGACTTATAAAAGTCCTGAAGAAATATTGGGCTCTCTCCCAAATTACTTGAACCAATAGCAGGTTTATAGCTTGCTTTGTATTCACAAGTTTGGGGGGGAAATTACTCTCAGGGGTGGGTGTGGTGATATACATCTTTAATCTCAACACATGGAAGGCAGAAGCAAGAAGATCTTTGTGAGTTGCAGGCTAGCTAGGGCTGTAGAGTGAAAGCCTGTTTTTTTTTTATTTGTTTGTTTTTTTTTAAATAAAGCACACAGTCATATACACTGTAATTAAGAGTAAATAATTGTTTAACAGATGGCCAAAGAGATGGCTCAGAGGGTAAGAGCACTGGATGGTTTTCCAGAAGATGAGATTTCAATTCCCAGCAACTACATGGAAGCTCATAACCTTCTGTAATTCTAGTCCCAGGTAATGCGATGCTCAATTCATTCAACACCAGACATATACATGGTACATAGGCATATGCCCAGGCAAAACACCCACACACTTGAAAAGCAGCTTACAATGTTTTTGTCTTTTACAGTTCAGATGAAAAGACAATAAAAGAATAGCAATTGATAACAACAGTGGTAAAAATTCCTTATATTATCTCATGCATTGATGTTAGAAAATGTGTCTACTGAAAAAACTACAGAAGATCAATGTCTGTTTGTTTTTGAAAAACATTCTTTTAAAGTGGGTGCCAGTGGAGTTTTACCTGTATCGAAGTGAGTAGCCTTTATGATTTTAAGTGACATGTAGCCCTTACATTTTTAGAAAAGACCTTAGACACATTTTCATTGTATTCTAATTTATGATAGTAAAACTGTATTTTGCTTAGTTATAATGCAACCAGCAGTGAGACTGGGAGAAAGAAAGTGAAGAAAGGGTGGGGAACGATTCTCAACAGGTCATGTAAACAAAATCAGTTACTGAGATGCCAAAATATTGAGATAACACCTCATGGCTGGATTACCTTACTTCTCATTTAATAATTTTGATTCAATAAAAACTAAAGTACAAGGCTAACAAGCTAAAACAAGAATTGGCAAGAAAGGCCTTCAGTAATATATTGATGCCAGGAGCCAAACCTAGGAAATTATCTGCTGTTCTGGGAAACCTAGTCTCAGGTCCCAGGAACTTCTGACATTCCCTGGGAGCCAGTTACGACAGTGGGATGGTTTAGGGCAATAAGGATTCAACAGTGGGATAGCCCTAAGCAATGACCTTCACCCAAACTTCCCAGTTTGCTGTGTCCTTAAAACCTGCACCTGAAATTAAAGTTTCAGAGCTTGATCAGAACTCCAGACTTGCTCGAATTCTTTCTGTCTCTTGTCCTTTCATTCTTTCGCTCCCTTCCCTAGGGACTCGTCGAATCCCCTGTGGGGTAGGTCGGGCATATTGATAGGTCTAGGGCTGCAGCTCAGTCACTAGACTGCTTGTTTAATATACGCAGAACTCTGGGTTCGATCCCCATAAACTGCTCATGGTGACACACACCTGTCTTTGCAGCACATAGGAGATAGAGACAAGAAGATCAGGAATTCAAGGTTGGAAGCCAGTCTGGTATACATGTGATTCTGTCAGAATTTTTTTTTTTTTTAAATTAAAAGTAAAAGAGAGACACATGGAAAGAAAAACAAAGAACCAAAGAAACGTACAGGAAAGAGTTTGGTGGTTTGATCCTACTCAT